AGATATTACATTCACACATAATTGAACAGCATGAGACAAGTGGAAAACAAACAAACGAATATATTACAAGCTCGTAAAGGATCGTTGATTGAGATCGGAGATTTCAAAACTCTAGTTTGACAGTCGAAGTTCTCTTGTCGACCTTGAGTCCAGGTAGCGCACTTTAGTTCGACAGAGTACGTGTCAGACTAGAGTGCGTGTCGAACTTGAGTACGTGTACCTGAACTGCAACTAGTCGCCAGATTGCAGGGTGTGTGACTCACTAGATATAATTTGTAATTATAACAGATATTTCACACTACGTAATATAGGTTCTAGTATCGAACACGTGACAGAGAATGGTCCAATGCTGTACACTTGCACTATTGTACCAATATTCTACCAAACAAATATGTTCTCGCACAAGGCAAAAGGACAAAGGTCGACAAACGGTTTCTATGAGGGAGGGTTCAGATATAACGTCAGCATCATGGGGGATGAAGGAAAGTGGCCGTTATGCTGATGCTAATTAATGAACAGTGATGTAATGACTTTCGTCAGAACATGCATCATTTCAATCATGGGATGAAGAGCTAGAGGAGTAAAAAGTCTGCTGCAATATGTGATTTGAACCTGAACTTGCTAAACACTCCCTAGATCATAAAATACATAAATTTTTGTTGGACAAAGAGTTGTAGAAAAAAACTTACTGTAGAAGGTTTCACCGTCACATCTGGTACGAATATACAGTTTACACTTTACAGTTCTTTTACAGTTCATAGTTGTAATGAAGTAAAAAAAACAGATAATTGCTAAGACAAACAAATGAAGAGATGAATCCTGGAACATACAGGGCCTTTAACGATATTTAAGGTCAATACATTATGAGTATTATAGAATCATGAAGTAAACAACACATTGTAGGGCATGATAGTCTTATACCTAGCATAAACCACGCAATAAAACAGTTTTCATTTAAAATTGTAAACCTGAAAAGCAGCAAGTGCAATAAAAGTATGCGGAGGCTAAAAGCTAATCTTACTGACACTACGAAGGAGATCCTCTTGTTTTAAGGTGTCCTATGTGTTTGATCAGGGTACTGGTCGAAAGTTGAATGTAAAACACAAAACATATTCATCACAACAAAGATGAAATTAATTCAAAAACTGCAATATTTATTTTGTCGAAACTTGAAAACTAGACATGTAACGGACATCTCACGCCTAGACTCTAGAGGGAAACGTTTTAGAAAAACAAAATTCAAAATTTTTTAACCATTATAACAATTCATCAATATAATGTTAAAAATAGGAAAAGACCGCTGTATGAATATTAGTGATTCAAAACAAACTCCGTTTCCAAGCGTTGACCAAAATTTGGCCACGACGTTTAATACATCGATGAGCACGCATCCGGGTGAGATAAATTCCCAAAGATGGGGTTAAAAGCGATAACAAAGATCAAACGGAACAAATGGAAATAACGATGCAATTTCCGGAATACATAGCCTTACCGCTCATTTGAGAATATGAAGCTACAATCTGTCTATGAGTTCACACAATAGAATTATCGAATGTTTATCCAATGCCGAAAATATTTGTTAACAAGCGCGAGATGATTTGAACACAACTTATTTTTATGCGCGCGTCTACTCTGCGTGATCATGGATTGTGGACGTAGTTTATATTATATTATTATTATGTTTTATTCACTCGTGCATACATCATTATTTATTATTATTATATATTAATACTTTGCTATTGACTTTTTAAAAGTAACAAGGGAAAATTTTTATTATTTTTTTAAATATTTCTACTCAATGCAATGAAATAAATTAAACAAATCTTTAATTAACTATTTTTATTTTTGCGTGCATTTACATTTAAATTGTTGATATTTTAATTTTTGATTGCCATGTAATAATTGGATTTATTTATTAAGTTTTTCAGACGCTGTCTGACCCAGGTTCATCATTATCAATTATAGACGGTACAGTTGATGGCTGTGCCGCGCATATTTTCACAAATTTACACTATATCTGATCACTGATATTACGGAAATCGAGCGCTCAAAATTTCAACGAAATACTTTTAAAAGTTCAAAGTTGTGCAGTGATTTTGTACATAGTATAATACTAATTACTAAAATTGCACCGTAATAATGCACTACAATGTAAAACAGGTACCATAAAAAGGTTTTTTAACTTTTTTTGCCCTACCCACTCACGATTTTTCAATAATTCCAGTCAACCGAGGAAAAATTACACAGATTTGTAATTTCACCAGACCCAACGGATCCTTAGATACATCCCTAGACTGGATGACATTAGGGTTGAGGGGTTCGAACCCTGGAACTTCTGCTCCAAAGGTGGACGTTCTAACCACTCTGCCAGATAGCCTTGATACATGTTATATAGCCTTGATACATGTTATATAGCAAGACGTTTCCTTCAACCTCATTCCCCAGAAGACGAGCTTTGAGGTCTCCTAGATTTGTTTATGTAAATTTTGTAGATATTTTACTGTACTATTTTATATTGTATACAATTTTACGGACGAAATGATCCCAGGGGGGACTCCCAACCCACCGTTTCGGCGGGTAGTTGATGCACCGTTCACAAGCAAGAGCCACATTGGTCTACTTACTGTGAGGTGTCTCAGCTACATGGGTTGGGGGTCCCCCCTTTTCTTTTCTTTTTTTTCTTTCTTTTTAAAAATTTGTATTATTGCCTTCTTCATGTAATTTGACCATATTTTGACATACTTTCTTTTTACTTGGGGAATTCAGGCTTTAGTGTTTATGGAACAGTGTTGAAGAATAAATTACGTCCAAACATGGGCAAATTACCTATGAAAAACGATTTGATTCCAGTTTTAAAGTCAATACTTTTCCTAACATTAGCTCCATCCTACCTGTGAAACCTTTGTATGGAATATTTGTTGGTAAACTTTATTTTCAATTGAGCTGATAAGTTAACCAAACTTTAGACCATGTGATAGATATATATGTATGTGATATTATCATGATATAATATAACACGTTACTAGTCCAAACTACTTTAGGTGATGTGAAGCGTAGTTACAATCTACTTTGGATGAGTGCGGC